ATGCATCCACGTTGCACTCTCATATCAAAGTACAACTGCATAGTGAAATTTATAATGGAAAGAAATCGCGTGGACTTATTTTTATTGGGTTCTATTGAAAGGCAAATAATTGGTGTTAAATTGCCGTGTAACGAACATGTTCTGCGCATACTTTTTTAAAGTCTGTGGACGGTGAAGTTGATTTTCGAGAAAGAGAGTCTCGTAAAAATCTTCAAATCATACAAGCATTATAATATTATTACGAATTTAGTATTGGAAAATTAGAAATAAGGTTATATCATTGCATTCTAAATTAGTGTTTCCTCTATCCAAGTTCCTTTACACATAGATTCAATTTGTATGATTTACAACGATTACTTTCACTTATAAGATAAGTACGTTTACGACCGTCGATAACAATCTATAATTAAATGTTCATGCACGAAACAATTTAACGCTTCGGTGTTTTCATTTTTCTCAATGTTATCTTGTATAAGATGTTAAACACTAAGTTTTACATAAAATTTAATTATTTTTATTAAACGCGGGATAATCGTAGTTCTCCCGATATTATGTCAATTCTAATTTTTACTTGTGATTAAATTTACTTTTACACTTTATTGCTATATATTTGACGAATATAAAAAATTTTGGCGTTAACGTGATCGATGGTATACACACACTATACCGTTACACCGTCACGGTGTGTAGATCAAACCAGAACCGCGAAGTTGGTAACGCTTAAAAAGGATTTACATTTCAATAAGTCAATGAAAAATCAACGATAAGAGTTACTTTGTTCCAAAGTTACATTCATAAACTGTAGTCGTAATGAAATATTAGAAATGAACTAATTTCAAAAATTTTATTCGTTTCTTAGTAACCAAATATAGCATATGTTTTGAATATTGTACGTGCGCAGGAATATGTTCCTAAAATTATGAATTTTTCTAGAAACGAGATTGCACTCGAAACAATTAGCATAGAGACTCTGTTTATAGCGCATTGTGCACCACACTGGATCCTCTCATCATTACGCTGAAGTAATATGGCCATTGATGGCACGCACTATACCGTTAAACCGTCACGCTGAAAGGATTAAAACAGCGGAACCGAGTAAGTGTGTGTGCGATTGGAAAAGCTTCTGACCTTTCACTTCATCCACTTTATTGTTTGATTAACATCGAAAACATACCATGACACATTTTTCACGAAAACATGGGTTTCTTACATCCATCAGTTCTGTTAATTAATATCCATAAAAATTGTTTTACACGTTAGGAGCAAAACTTTCATGACTGTGCATTCTAATAGAATCTATGGAAAACGAAATAATTTACGATGCAGAATTTCGTAAGTCGATAAAATGTAAGTGAAAGTTAAACTCCCTGCAATTAGTATTCTAATTATCATTATTTTTATATCGTGTTAATGTTAATATTACTAATTAATCATGATAATAGCGTGTTTCATTTTGCATTGAAACTAGATTCTGTTATCCATAATATGGAAAAATAAAGCAGAGAATTTCAATTCATTTTGAAGAGTTTCGTAAAAGTAGCACCGAGAATATATTATAGTCGATGACTAACTAGTGTAAGTAATTTATAGCGTAATAATTTTTTCGACATCTGCATAAGTTCGTACAGCATTTTATTTTATGGCTACGTGTTACCTCGCGATTGATCTTTGAGCCAATACCTCGTTTTACAATCTAGATAATTCTGGTTCAAAGAAAACTGATAAAAATAGGATGGTCGCGAAGGCCTCGTCAAAGAAATAAATTCGAGGCGGTTATTTGCATGAAAAAATGTTAAGATTGATATAATCTATGCCTACCATTTAAGTAAAAACGATTTCTAAAGGAATCATGCTTCGTTTAACAAATGATGTTTTGAATATGAAAACAGGAGTGACTTAGTTGATGCTTTTTTAACTTCGATCTCGCGGTAGAAAATGCAATAAATATCGCGTAATTTCATTTTTCATGCCTATTCAACGAGAATATCTATTACCACTTTTTTGTCGAAACTTTCGAAAGCATTGTTCTTTTGTAAGTGGAGAAACGAACCAGAAATATCAAATGTTTGATTACAATTGTCTAATGTTTCTTCTTTAGCTTTTTCGAGGATAACTATACAACTTCGTGATATTATTTAATAGTTATAAAGTTATTGAGATGGAAATTTTAAGAATAGAGAATCAAATTAACTCCACCGTGTTTGCTCGATGGAACCAAATAATACAAATATTTTTAGAAGAGAACAAAATGTTGTCATTTTAATTGTCGTATTCGTTTGCCATTTTATACCGAATTTATTCTTTTTAATAACACGTCACGTTTCGAAGTAAAATCTTTGTCCCACGCAATGTGATAGAAAGCAATGCAGAGTCGTATTTCAACGAAAGAAACTGCGATGTACAGTGGAAAAAAGAACGATTAAAATCAATAATTGTTAATTACGAAATATTTATAGCCAATGACACCGTTATAACTGAGAAGCCACGACGTTCGTGACTTCGTTGGCTTATGCACCACCTAATATGGTTCAATCAAGTATTGACCAAGGCAGTCGGATATCCTGACGCAGCTCCAAGAGACATTACTTTACAGCCGGGACTTTTAAGCCAATTTCACGTCGGGTTTCTTTGCTCTAATACCCATCTCGCCACGTGACCGTGCACACGGCGATTGGTTACTGTTTACGATTTGCACCTTCAACGAAGATATCGAACCATTGACCAGCCCACAAATCGGTCGTTCATTTTAGCAGATGGACGAGATCATAAGCGAAAGTAACGACTGTGATTCGTGACGAAACTGACAATACTTTCGAAACGATTGGAGAGAAGATATTGTTCGTGGAAAAAGGCATCGATCTGTGAAATTGACAGGATTCTCGTATTCTAGGTCGAAGACACTAATCGGTTGTTCTTTTCAGCAAATAACGGTTTTCAGGACAGGAGTTCAAGAGAAGAGTTAATCCGCACACCGATAGATAAATTTATTTTACGTTTTGTTTATCCATGAAAATCGTCACGGTCGAGGTTTGAAGTAAATTGCGGCTTAACGAGTGTTGAAACGAAGTTAGATTCTAGAATAGCTGAAATTTTCACGAGACTGTAACCATGTTAGGCTATTTTCTTCGGAATTCTTAATAATTAGACAACACAGATAATATTCTGCTATAAGAAATGAATTTTGGCATAAAATTAGTTATGATTTGTAACGAATTACCAGATTTTCTTCTATCTTTTACAAGTCTATATAGGAAAAATTTAAATAGGAGATTCTAGAGGCCAAAATAAGACGAAAATCAAGAATATCAATTTGTTGATTGAGGATGCGTTAAAGAGTTATTAAAAAATTTCAAATCATTCATGGAAAAATTATTGTGGCCAGAAATGTTTCTATAACTTTTTAACGAAGCCTCAATCAACAAATCAGTATCCTTGATTTTCGTACTATTTTGGCCTCTAGAATCTCCCATTAAAATTTTTCCCAGGGATGGTCGAACACCCTGTATATATTAGTATTAAAATGAAAATGAAATAACCTTATTAAAATTTAATTTCAACGCGTCGAGTTCCATTAATTTTAATTAATATTTCAATGATGTTTTCAGCACCGATAATGTGAAAATATTATTTTGCATTACTTTTAGCTTTTACAGGATGTCAAAACGCCTCGAATAATCAGTTTCGTTTTTAATAGTAAATTATGAAACAGGAAATAACTTCCTTTGCATGTTCAAAGTACATTGTATACTTGATGAAACGATTCCTACGATTCGTAGAGTATTTACACTTAATCTATCGACGTTTAAAATGAAAGATCACAATTTTACACGCAAATTGTTCTATAAATGCGAAGCACAACAGACATCTGTATCTATTTAACACACCTCACATCGTGGAACATATCGTGTACAATAATTAACACGTGCGCGTGCTCGCTTACAAGATTATGAAATTATCTGTGTACTTCAGCGTGTCCTTGCATTTCCATTTCAAAGCGCATGAAAATTTTAATTATAGGTTTAGTCGAGGAAACAACTGAGCATCTTTTAAAAAGAAATCAATTAAACGCATTCTATGGAACCTGATAGTAATCGTTCTCTTTTCTTATCATATTTCATTGTAATGTTGTTTAGAAATGATACTTTCCAGAGAATAGCTTTTAAAATTATATAAAATTTATCGAAAATTGATTGCCATAAAGAAGAAATGAAGCTTTTCGAAATGTTATGTTGATCTGAATAATACGACGATGATTAGAAATTTATCACTCGTGATCCATAAATGTCCTGTTTAATTTTCTCTTGCAAAGTGACATTCGAAACTACGGATGGCTTCGATCCTTAGGCGGCTTCATCCAGTAGCATAGACCGCCTATTATTATATCTCGAATATTTTTTACTCGACTTGCTGGCAAAGAAAAAACATGCTCACGTTCTCATTATTTCCACATACAAAATTTGCATGAATCTGTCTCCTTGTAAAAGAAAATTACTTTAAGCAAATTGATTGAAAACCAAAATAATCTATACTTCCTGTTACCAAGGAAAGAATAATTTTAAAATAGATTTTTTGATACAGTTGACACAAACTACTCGAGTTTGATTCGAATATAGAAACGTATTGCAATTAATACATTACATTCACATATGGTTAAACAAGACTATACGTGTATTACAACACGATTCGTCCAAGAATCAATGTGCTCGTATCGTATAATATCATCAAACGAGTCCCATTAATTAATTCCCTCGTTACCCGCGAGATAGTTCCTATTTCTCACAGCCCTGGATGCTAAACTCATAATACGTGTGTAAGCCTATTGAAGTCATTATGGAATTAATATCAAAACCGCGAATTGAAATGACAGAAGTACAAGTGGCATGGTCTTCTTACGAGACCTATTTCTGAGCCCGAGCAGAAGTGCGCCGGTCTTACAGAGCCCAATCCTATTAAGGGGTTAACAGGTATCTGGTTAGAAAACGAACGACCCAGTCGTATCTCGCACCTGGTCAGGTGAACAGTGTTCAATAATATCACTTGTATTTAAATGACGTACCGAGATTTTTGAATTTCCAAGCGCGAGCCACAGTTACCGATATGGGTGATATAATCGGTTAGTAAGATTCATCCAGGAATTCTGTCGAGCAATAATTTTGAAAGTGCAGTGGCATGAATCGAAATATTTGTAATAAAATTTTTGGGCGAAATTAGTCGCCAATTGTTGTCAGATAAAGGGTGTATTCCAATGAAAAATTGTTTCGAGTAGCAGTGAATGTTTTGTGTTTCATGGAATAATAGAATTGCAGATAAGTCATTCTGGAATTATTTCAGATAATAATTACTTTTACGCGAAAACATTGGAAAAATTCTTGTATCCGTTTCTAAAAAAAAACAGCCCTGCGAAACGTAAATTCGATTATTATAAGAAGATATAATATTATGTTACATAATCGACTTTGCTGACTTGTAGAAGACCTGTCTATATTAACTGAATTATAAGCTGACTTTGCGATTTCAACTTTCCTGAATTATCGAGAGATATGTTTGTTTTCAAACTTATACCTTTGATAATTGTATTCGTGTTTATTGGTTTAGTTTTATAGTATTGGTGAACAATAAATTCAGAGCTTAAAAATATAATTTGTTTCAAGCTTTGAAAGAGGATTTCTTTAGACATTTTTTTTCTACAAGATTTAGCCTGAAAACATCGTTTTATCACAGATATACATTTCTTCCTGTGGTTCGCCGCAACTTTCTATGAGGCTAGATCTAGAAATTGCTTCACCACGGTAATTTCCGCTCAATGGCTATAAAGTTATTAATAAATGTAGGGTGGAAAACACTACCAGCGTAATTTTCCAAGCTACTGTCTATAACGTTGCTCGCTACAATGTAATAAAGTTTCTCCTTTTCCCTAAACCGGCATAAAAATGATTTCTAACCGTTTATACCTTAGACGTATATTCACGGTAAAAAGAAAGCTTTTAATAATAATTCATATACAACGACCGCCATGTGTCATTTATACCAAAATTATTCCATGAAAAATATTTTCTCTTTACGCTAACAGTTTGAAATAAAACAGTGTTTTTAATTTAACTGTATTTTAATGGCACAATTTATTTCATATAAAATTAGTCAAATTTCTTCATTTATCTTTTGACGTTTCATAAGTGAAGAAATTTTTACTGATTTTGCAATGAAACACTAAGAAGAATAAAACTATTTTGTAATAGTTAATTTTATATAATTTACTGTCCCAGAAATGACCGGTGGTGGGACCAATATGGCGTATCACGGTCTCAGTCAGCATGTAAATTTCGATGCGATACCAGACCCTGGCGATCGTTTTGTGTTGGAAGAATTGATAGGCGAGGGAACGTACGGGGAAGTTTATTCCGCGCATTGCAACGAAACTGGCAATAAAGTTGCAATCAAGATACTGGAGAATGTTGCTGACAACATAGAAGAGATCGAAGAAGAATATCTCGTGTTAAGGGATTTGTGTCTTCACCCGAATATTCCACACTTTCATGGTTTATTCCTGAAAAGGGCGAAGCCTGGTCAGGAAGAGGATCAACTATGGTTCGTCATGGAGGTACTGTTACTTTAATTTTATCAATTGAAAGACGCATTCTGCATAGTTTAGTATCTTAAACGTTCGCTTCGTTTTTGTGATTTAATAGTTTGAAGTTTCCAAGGTGAAGAATAGATTAATTATTTCTGTTTCAGTTATGCACCGGAGGATCGGTGACCGATCTCGTGCAGGGTCTCAAGAGAAAAGGAAGACGTCTAACGGACGAACAAATAGCTTACATTCTCAAAGAAACGGTGGAAGCGTTAATTTATTTACACAGCAATCACTGCATGCACCGTGACGTTAAAGGACATAATATTTTGCTTACCGAGGATGCGCATGTTAAATTGGTTGACTTCGGTGTGGCTTCGCACCTTGCTGCCACGCTCGCGAGGAAAAACACGTCTGTCGGGACACCGTATTGGATGGCACCTGAGGTAAAGTACAATCATCGTTAAATTTCTCGAATTACATACGAGCAATTAAAATTTTTCAAAATTGTAAGAATTAACGGAATTGAGAGACATACGAGAGCGAATTTTATTTATTTCACTTTGTATAATATTATGTTATTATTATTCATTTATTAACGGGAAAAACCCTTTAGTATACAAAGTAGTAATATATAAGGAACAATAAAATACAGATAGATTGCATAGAAAGTTGTTTTCATAAAATGCAAACGCCGAACAGGTAATAGCTTGCGAGCAACAACTGGATTCCTCTTACGATTCTCGTTGCGACGTATGGTCGGTTGGGATCACAGCGATCGAGTTAGCAGAGGGTGATCCGCCCTTGTCCGAACTCCATCCTATGAGGGCACTGTTTCAAATACCTAGAAACCCACCCCCATCTTTGAAAACCCCAGACATGCATACGCCAGAGCTGCTGGACTTTATCACGGAATGTTTGGTGAAAGATCTCGAACATCGACCTTTCGCCAGCGAATTAAAAGAGCATCCTCTATTGGTGAACATTGAGGCCAATATGGAAAAGACCAGAATCGAACTGAGGGAAGAGATTCGTCGGCAAAGAGCGTTTGGCAGGGTTCACAGACAACCGGAAGTGACCACCAAGCATGGAAAATTGAAGACTGATCGAAAAACCAGACCGGAGAAAATGTATATGGACGATCTGGCTGCTCTGGACATGTTAACGGAAGATGGAATCGTCGAACAATTGCAGCATAGATACGAACAGGGTCAAATATACACGTATATCGGTGACATACTCGTTGCAGTTAATCCGTTCACGAATTTGGGATTGTACACAGGAATTGTAAGTATTTGAGATCAACTTTGATAACTTTTAAATATAGAGTCAAGGAAGAAATTTCTTTAAGTACAAAGGGTATTCGACGTTGAAAAGTAGATATAGCGAGAACATTTTAACGCCTGCAGGAGCAAAAGAGATACAAAGGCCAAGCGAGATCGGACAATCCGCCGCACATTTTCGCTGTCGCCGATGCTGCCTATCAAGCGTTGCTGCATCAGCGACAAAATCAAGCGATAGTTATCAGCGGCGAATCCGGAGCTGGAAAAACCGAAAGCGCGAATCTGCTATTAAAGCAATTGGTGTACCTCAGCAAAGCGCCGAATCGTAGTTTAGAAGAAAGAATTCTACAAATAAATCCAATAATGGAGGCTTTCGGTAACGCGACTACTGGGATCAATGCAAACTCGTCCAGGTTTGGGAAGTACTTGGATCTAACGATGACCAAAGGCGGCAAAGTCACTGGCGCCAGAATATCTGTATACTTGTTAGAACAGTCTCGAGTAGTGGCTCAAGCTGAGTGAGTAACATGCAAGACTAGGTCACAAACTGTTGGACGTTTCACAACACAAAATAATTTTAATTTTCAGAGGCGAGCGTAATTTCCACATATTTTACTACATGTACGATGGCCTGGAGGCAGATAATCGTTTGTCGGAGTTCTATCTGGACGAAAACCTTCGAAAGCAACACCGATATCTCATGGATCATAGTCAAACGTCCCAGGCGCATATCGATAAGTTCAAACAGTTAAAGAATGGCTTTAAGTTGCTCGGATTTCAAGACAGCGAGGTGGACACGGTTTACCGAATTCTGGCTGCCGTGCTTCATCTTGGCGATATTGAGTTTGGCGAGGTAGCCAGCGAGGACAATACCGATAATAAGAGTCGAGTAATTGACACAGCACCTTTGCACAGAGGTAATTACGTGTTTTCATCGATAAATATATATTTGCTTCGGGCGCGATTCTATCGGCGAAACGCTTCCGGTTCGTGACCTTTAAAACACGTTACAGTTTCCCGATTGCTTGGCATCGAAGAGAACGATCTTCTAGAAGCCTTAACATCGAATTCGGTTATGACCAGAGGGGAAACAATCACGCGGAACAATACAGTGGCAGAGGCGTGTGCAGCGAGAGACGCCATGGCCAAAGGACTTTACGGTCGATTGTTCGACTGGATGGTCAATCAAATCAACTGTTTGCTATGCTTCAATCGTTCCCCGAATTACGAGCCGTTGGCCATTGGTCTCCTCGACATTTTCGGATTCGAGAATTTCCCTAGAAATTCCTTCGAGCAATTGTGCATTAACATCGCCAACGAACAGATACAGTATTACTTCAATCAGCATATCTTTACGTGGGAGCAGCAAGAATACATGGCAGAGGGAATACCGGTGGATCTGGTCGAGTTCTCGGACAACAGACCAGTCCTTGATATGCTTTTAAGCAAACCTATGGGGCTTTTGGCCCTTTTGGACGAGGAAAGTCGTTTTCCTAGAGCCACGAATAAATCTTTGATCGGTACGAATCAGTATCCATAACTCTTCGCTTGAAATTTTATATCTTGTTATTACACCATAATTTTAATGCATATTGCAGAGAAATTCCACAGCAACATCAAATCCAAGTTTTACGTACGACCGAAATCGGACGCGGTTTGCTTCGCGGTCCACCACTTTGCAGGGCGCGTGGTTTACCAGGCAGAAGGATTTTTAGAAAAGAATAGAAATTTCTTGCCCCCCGAAGTGATACAGCTGGTCAGGCAGTCTCAGTACGACATGGTTCGCTTTTTGTTTCAATGCCCGATCACGAAGACTGGCAATCTTTACTCGGCGGTACACGAAACCGATTCAAAGAAATTGTCGCAATCGAATCAGAACACAAAGGTATTCGCAAAGTGACGTGTTTGTCGGTTGCTTTTTAATTCAGCGAGAAATAAAAAATGCCAGCGGTATTATTTAGTCGCGCGGGTAGACTAAAATAAAAAATTGAATCGTTCCAGGAACGTTATTCCAGCCGGGGATTAGCGTCGCAGTCCAGGGCTCAACAAACGGTGGCGACGTATTTCCGATACTCGCTAATGGATTTGTTGCAAAAAATGGTGTCGGGGTTGCCGCAGTTTGTGCGTTGCATAAAACCAAACGATTCGAGGAGCCCGCGATTCTTCGACAAAGAAAAGGTCGTGAAACAATTGAGATACACCGGAGTCCTCGAGACAATACGAATTCGACAGAATGGCTTCTCGCATAGAATACCATTCAACGAATTCTTGAAAAGGTACTTACCAAAACGTCTTTTATTATAAAATATAAATATCGTCCAACAACCAAATTTAGCGTCTTTGGATTTCTCAAACATGTCATCGTCGTGAAGTAATTTAAACCTTAAACCATGAATTATAGATATTGCTTCTTGGCATTTGGTTATGACGAACGAGTGATGGCAAATCGCGACAATTGCCGTCTTCTTCTCATCCGCTTAAAAATGGACGGATGGGCGTTGGGTCGAACAAAAGTGTTCCTCAAATACTATCACGTCGAGTTTCTTTCGAAAATGTACGAGGAACAGCTTAAGAAGATCATAATGGTCCAGGCGTGCGTTCGTCGATGGCTCGCCAGGATCAGATTCAAAAAACAGAAATGGCAATTCGCTGTGTCCGTTGTTACTTTGCAACGTCACATTCGTGGATGGCTATCGAGAAAGCATTTGCTCGAGGAGCTGAAGAAAAAGCAAGAAGAAGAGGAAGAAGCCTCTGTTCTGCTAAAAGCGCAAGGTAGTTACGTAATCTCAATATATTCATTACTATTACGCAATCCTTCTTTTCAAAATAACTTCGCAAATACTTTGACTCGTGAATCTATGAAATAATAAATGTGATTAACAAACATTGTCACAGAAGAACAGGAAGCAAAAGCTAAAGCTGAGAAGCTGGCAGAAGAAACTGGCGAGGTGAAAGAAAAGGAACCACTGAAAGAAACCGACGCTGCCGTCATCATCCAAAGTCGTAAGATCATTTTAAAAATATATACAACAGAGTCCTGCAATGACCAACTATTTTCGAAATTAAAATCGCGTTTCTGGGCTATCTGTAGACTTCAGAGGATACACTATCCGCAAACGTTTCGGGCCCGAACTGGAGGAACGCTTTAAGAGAATCCTGAACGGTCACAACGACAAGTTCGAAGCTCACAAGGCGTTGTTGCGGGAAGGTTTGAAGAACGCTGATGCCGCGTTCATTGTCCAGCGATGGTATAAGAAGGAAGAAAAAGTTAAAAAGAGGAAGCCATCTCCGAGAGACAGCGTACATCCTAAACTAAGACAAGCTGATCTTATACAATTCTCTCAAAACGTGAGTGAAAGACTAATTATTGTCACCCTTCCAGAAACTACGTGTTTTCGTAATTATTTGCAAGCAAGCTATTATTTTAATTGTTACGATGATCATTGAAATTCCATCGAAGGTCCACATGAAGAACCAAGAACTGCACAAGTATCAACGTCGCAATAAACCGGGTGTCCGATTAAACGATATCGACGAACCACCACCGGATTACGTGCGCCCGGAAGGATTCAGCATGGTTCAACCTATCATGCGATATCGAAGTGGCACTCAAGTGGAAGGGGAGGAGACCATTAAGTACTATCACGACTTGAAGAACGAGATGAGCAGGTAAATAGACTCGGTGTTATATTGAAATCGATTGCCCAGTTTCTTTTTTCGCGTACGAATGCGAAATTCGAATGCTCAATTTTCGAATGCTTTTGGCACTCGCATCGGAAGTGGTTCGGACTTCGAAGACGACGAAGTTGGCTGGGACTTACCGTTGATACAGCTAGAAAATGACCTCCACCCATTGTCGAGGTACAATCGTACATTTCAAGTCGGTCTTCCATAGAGAACTCCTAGCTTCGAATGACCAAACATTTTTAAAAAGTCCTCGTTCCCCCCTGATACATCCAATACAATAGAAACAATTAGAACGATTAATTAAAAAAAAAAATAAAAATTCATACTTGCAATAATCATAGCGAGCTTAATTTTTGTCGGAATACGAATTTATATAGATATGTAGAAGGCTGTAAACTAGAGATTGATTCTTAATTTTGTGTCCTAGTTGTATGTTCGTAGCAACTAGTACGTTTTAATCCATCGTCGTAGAACTTTAACGATTGAAATTAAAATTGTTTCGTAGTTGAATATTTATTTTGTAACGATATGATGGATAATATTGCGTTCGACGTTTCAGGAGTCGAATGGGTCAGATTTTAGAAGTGAACGCCGAGAGGAGAGAACGCTTGGAAGCTCAGGGCAACTATGCGATAGCTTCGGAGCAACAGCTTTCGGATATATGGCACAAAGCTTTGAGAAATCCAGGCGAGGTGGCACAACAAGAAGACAACTCAGCCAAAGTGAGGTACGCTCAGGCTTTCTCCATAATTAAGCTTCTTATTCCTTTCCTGACCAATCTTCAATCCTTCTACGATCTATTAGTTCCCTTTATTTATTCCTCCGATTCTAAATTCATTGATTCGTAATAGGAAGCAAAGTATCGCTGAATTAATGATCGTAACATAGTGATTGAGTTACTAATCTTTTTCGTTGTGTTTCTATACTTTGCCAGAGGTATCATGGCAAACTTCCAGGTAAAATAATAAAATTATGCCCTCCGTAGATTTAATTTCATTTGAAAGTCCCTTATGTAGTCGTTACGCAAATATAAAGAAAAAAAAATTGAATTTTTGATTCGAGAAAACAGCTAAGCAAGGGAATCGTATAAAAACGAACACTAAAAACATTGTTCTACACGGGTTATAGTTGGGACGTTAGAGTAGGTAGTGAGAGCAAAAGAAATACGGCTGCAAGCATAATTGAATATCTGGATCGAACGTGGAGTACTGTTGAATTTCATGCTGTCTGATCGAGTATTACATTTATTTCTATTTGAGTAATATGATATTTAGATACCTAAGTTGTGCGTTCGTTAAAAATTTTTATTTATAAATCCGTAGCTTTGATGCCAATAATAAACCAGGGAATTGCAACAATGTAATTGGAAGAGATTCTTTCCTTACAGTTCAAGGATTAATCACGTGCCTAACAACAACCTGCGGCCCTCTGAGGGCTATCCACACCGTAAACAACCTGGAGTCAACTCTTCGAATATCAACAATACAAATGGCTTACGATCCAGATACGTCGACAGACACAACGGTGTAAACGAACATCAGCAACCAATCAATAGTCACCAGCGTAATGTCAACGGATCTTCCGTAAATGGAAACCAGAACGCATTTAACGGACACTCCAGTTTCACAAATGGCCATACCACTTTCATCGATGGTCACAAAAATAATAGTCACAGCCCTCTGAACGGACACGAAACCCCCATTAATGGCCATATAAATTCCGTGAACGAACATTCTTCCCCGATCAGTCGCGTGGCTAAAGTCAATGGTCATCGAAACATTGTCACTGGTTGTCAAAATGGTTTATACATTAACAGAATGGTTGCAAATGGATTAGCCAATCAGAGTGACTCGAACAGACAGTCTGGATTCGCCAATGGCGTTAAGAATAATTTGAACGATCGGAAAGGAACGAAGGTTGCGAAGGAGAATAGCGACGTCGAGAAAAATCGACAAATTGGAGTGGATAGTAAGAATGGAATCAATCGATCTGTTGTCGGTCAAAACGCTTTGGGTGGCCGGGTGGGAATGAGAAAAGAAATGGGGAAGGATGTGTTCGGTATTCCAGGTGATCTTAGACAACTTCTGAGGCCCACCGTCGTGCAAAAGCGGCAAGAAATCATCAAAGTCGATTACGATCCGGAAGATATCAACGGACCATATAATTTTAGACAGCTTTTGAGACCAGCCGAGTACCTTCCGACCGAATCTTTGAGAAAGAGGAAGGGTGGACTAGCTTGCAACGGAGTTCCAGTGACGAAGGATAAAATTTCAGAGAAACATGTAAAAAGAAGGGCTCCGCTGGCACCGAATCAAAATAAACTCGTTAACGTAAAAAAGTAACGTTACGTGATGCCTGAACGTTCAAAAATTTCTTAGAGCACAGGCAGTTAGATAATTTATTTGCTAAATACGAGATATTAATCAGCACAGTGATTAGAAATACGGAGTGTTTGGAGAAAGGGGTTTAGAAATTCAGAAGCATATAAACTTTGTTCGTAAAATATTGCTTGAAATAATTATGAAATATTTTTGTTTACTCGGATTTTATCATTTCTTTTTTTTTATGAAAAAATTATACATCAGTGTTAGAAATTCATAGTTCAGGTGAAATTTTTTTGATAGAATTTAATAATCTACGTTAATTCGACATTTTTTGTTTACTTTCAGGTATATCATACGCTTCTAAAATCCTGAACTCTCTTAAACACACTGTGCGTAAAAGCAGCATTCATCTCATCCCTATATAGATGGTATTACAAATTTTCAACAAGATTACTGTAAGGATCGTGAAATACAATTTATTTTAAATTCGTTTACGATTTTTCTTATTTTTTTTTTTTTTTATCTATAAAGACGCAATTGTTTAATGGCCGGAAAAAAAAATCGTCAGTTCATTTTTACTTCGCCACGGAGTGCTGCTGCTTAATAAAACGTGTTTCAATGATAATCTATGTTTAGAACTAGTCATGTGTAGCTTTACAAAAGACTTAGATGTATTCGATAGCGTTAAAAAAAATTTGTTCCCGAAGTTTTAACGGTGTTTACCTCGTATCATGACATTTATATTAAATAACTTAACTTGTAATGTATGACTTATACGATTAATCGACGAGGCTGTTTATTAGTGCCTCGTCTCGTTAAATATTTACGAAAACATCTTGATTAGTGGCTATTATCAAATATTTGTTAAATATTATTCACTGATACGTATGTCGACAGTACAGCTTGTATATAAAATTCTTATAGAAATAAGAATAACAATAATATATTAAATATATGTTCCGCTTTAGACTACTAAAAAATTCGTTCTTTGTTATCCTATCGAAAACATTTTTGCATGTCGAGGAATCAATGTTCGACTCGTCAATATAAATTACAAATTTGATTATCATTTTGTTCCGTTAGCATAGAATATGAATCGAAAGAAATTATTTCGTCTCATTCGGCGCGAATCTCCATTGTCATACAACGGTCATGGCGCGCAAACGGGAAGTAAATATGAAATTACATATATTATACCTTTATTAAATATAAAGTAACATATATCATACCTTTTCTTGCGATCTAGACATTGGTCCTCGACTAAACAGCACGTAACGTCCCACCAAACACGTTGCACTTTCCTGTTTTTAAACTGCACGAAGAATCACTGTCAAAATATGAGGAAGACGCCATAGTTTGCAAACACAACGATAGATGGCAGAACTGTATCATCTATAAAACCTCGATGGTTGGCCAGTGCCGAGCAGTTGTCTACGCGTCGCCGCCGTAACGTCGTGTCGCTCGCATCGACGCTCTTCAGCGCGATGATTGGCCAATGGTTTCACGAGTAGGGAGTCTAGGGAAATAAATGGAAAGGATCGGTCGTCGTGAGGGGGTTGCGGACAGGCACGAGAAGTGAGAGGGGTGCAACGAACCCTCTAGGCTCGGTTCGAGTCTACGGAGCGCGGAGTTGTGTTCTAATCATGGCGACACCCGACCCCGTAGACCCAGCCACCCTAGAGATTAAGACCCGTAGCATAGAACAGACACTACTCCCACTAGTAAAACAGGTAAGACAATTAATCGGAAAGTGGAGGAAAGGAACGTTCGTGTGCTCTAATCACTCGGTTTTTATTTGAGCCGCTTAGAGTCCCTGGCCTTTAACCGCGATAGGTTAAGGTCTTCCTACCCCGGCTTTCCTCGATACGTTACGTTCTGTTGCACGGCACTCCGTTTCACCCATATAGTAACCGTGTTCGCGTGTGCGTGTGCGTGTTTCGCGATTCTACTTGTGCGTGTGTGTGTTGCACGTGTGTGAGTTTATACGACGGGAACACCGGTGCATGTATATATATTCGTAGGAAAGCGAGTGGACCGCGTACCTGACAAAGAGAAAGAGAGAACGTAAGACGAGCGAGAAGGCTGCGAACGTGCGACGAGGACAAACAATCGTGCCGGCCGCTTTTAAGAGCGAGACAGAGATACGAAAAAGAGCGTGTTTCGCGAGGGATTAAGAGTTACTTAACAGACGAGAAGCACGTAGTTATAAACCGTTCCACCGAATATCGATTTGATCTGAACGAAAATGTCTCTTTCTGGCCTCCGCGGCCTTCTTCGTTTCGAGAGAGACACTCGGATATTTGACAGTTCTCGCACCGGGCATGTATACATATAGTTTGCATCATCGAGCGACCGAGCTGCCACGCGCTCGGTGTAACAGATATTTTGGTATTTCTTCGTTCTCTCTCGCTCTCGCCGTCCGTCGTTGAGCTTTCTTTCTCGTTCTATCTTTTCTATCCGTAAATGTATATTAGTACGTGTATACGTACACGCCGTGTATGTACATCTGTACACATATATTTTTTCCGCGGAAGTCACGTGATCAGTGTTTCGTGCCGGCGGCGTCGATTTCGAGCTTTTATAAAATTACGAACAAGTTTTCGCTGTGTGATCCGCGAACACGTGTGCGACAGTAATTTGTGTGTGCACGAACGCGGCAGCACGCTGTGACACAAGGAAGAAACATGCCGCGAAAGTCAAAGGCCGTTGAACGTATTGAACCTGAAAAATGTTTTCGTTCTAACTTCTACGAATTCGACGGACTAATATCACGGACCGTTAAGAAATCTACGTCGCTACGGTGGTAAATACGATTAGTTTTATTTCAATATAAATATTCACGTAGCTAAATTTCTTTTTAATTCGAAATCGGCGAAGACGCGCGAATGTCGCCATTCTGTTTACAAAGCTATTTTATTGGAAAATTATAACAAAGTAAATATACTTATGCTATAAATAACTCTTAGTATGCGTATCGAAGAACATTGTTTTGTAAGAAATTTCACTAGCGTGTCTTATACTTTATTGCGGTATTTCTCAAATTGTGGTCCACGAGATTTTAGTAAAAACTAAGCATATTATTATAGTGGATTAAAGAAATAGTACTTTATTAACTTTATCGTTAATAATAGAGATGTACAGTGTGAAACATCTGCCACTTTATTTTTTAAAAGCATCATTACTTCATCTCATTCAACTTAGATTTACTCAATTTTTCGTATACATTGATCAACACTGTTTTGTACTTTTATTCATCAATTTTCATTCTGTTTCTGACCAGAGTGATTGCAGACAGCAAACTTTATTGATTTTCTTTGTTCCCAGTGAGATAGTATTACATAGAAAACAAGGAATAAAGATTTTTTTAATACTGTTCGGTAATAAAATTAATTTATTAATGAATAGTATTAAATAAATCTGAAGTTCCATGTGAGGTCGCTTGTGAGATTATACAAGTTATATAAAAGTTTCTTTTATTAAAAAAGTTCGCGGGGAAATTATGTTTGAGAAACACTGCATTATTGCTTCTATTTTTCTCCATGATACTAATCTTAGAGACGTTCAAGGGTCGAAGTAATATTTCGGTCATTTTCCGTTTTCATAGACTTTTATTTTGTGATCTGTTCTTTTTAATTTTCAGGAAAATCCACGTGGCGAGTCGCGTTAAGAATCCACTGCAATTTTATTTCGTTACTTAATTATTTGTATTTTAATTGGAATTCGTTTTGATTACCATGCATAGAAGATAGTTTTGAGATTTTCTCTTACTTACGTACTATCGACCACGTATTTCAGATTACATTTTTCGTTATATTTTGCAATTACATAGCTGCAACAGAGCAACATAAATTTTTAATAATTATTTTAGCTCGTCATTACATTTTATCGGAAGTAAAATGAACAAAGGAATAAGAATTATTATAATTGTTTAATAAGAAGTGGATATTTTCAGGTTTCTAAGGTAGCTTTTATATAAAATATTGGATCCCAATGAAATCATAAGTAGTCAGTCTACTATGGAGTCGTGTGAAACGTATGGCAGATATTCCATCTATTTTTACCACACACTAAGGAATGGAGCTGTATACTCTATGCCTAGTTTCGAATTTATAAACACGTTACAAGTATGAATGAAATATTACAGTCGTTACTCACCGGGTCGATTTAGACAATCTTACTGAACAATAACAAAGTAATTTCCGTCAAAGCAATAATTTAACGATACAGCTACATTTTTTGACTCGATCACGACTTAAAATTCATATACACATTCGTATCACGTTATTCAGTCATACAGCTAATTGTAGAAACGTGTCACTCCATTGTAATAGAATTCCAACGTACAATATATATTTAACAGTGAACAAATTATAACTCAAAGTAGAGTATTTGCCCCAAGGCCTTCTTAGAATAAATATCGAAGCAAGAATTACGAAGAGTCACCGCCTCTTGGATCAAATTAAAGGCAGCGCGTTTCTTCCCCTTTTAAATACGTTTCAAAGAAAGCGTGTCTTTGCAAAGAACCTGAATTGACGATCGCTTTGAACCTTCTTCAACCAAAATTCTCGTTGCTTTCTGTACGAAATAGTCTTCAAAAACGTAGTCCACAAACGACGTCGTTAACAAATACAGTAGAGCAAACGAATAGGTTCGAGGAGATTCTCTTTATCCCAGATTCTGTTTAAATTCGTGGTCATTAATATCGGTTTCTGCGTCATTTTCCGCTGTGATTAATTGAAAGCAACGTATGAATATGAATATTAGATCTTCAGAGAAATATTCCCAGAAATATAGGTTTACTTTATTTTAAAGCAAGCATGTTATTTATTACTTTGGTCAATAACGATAACTGACTATCGTAAAATACTGTAATTTGTAAATACGTAGACTTTTAAATAACATTTTTGACGTTTTTCCAACTAATCTAACATATTTTGTACATAATGGTTACTTTTTTAAAAGGATGCGATATTTTGAAAGCACGAATATGCTTTTGTGAATACGTAAACAGTAATTGGATAATTCATTCACGGTACGTTATGCGGGATCTGTCGATATTTTAATATGATATGTATTTATATACAAGGTGTTCCGTTATTCGTGATACAACTGGGCAAGAAGTGATTCCTCGTGAAGAAAGAAGTCAAAAAACAAACGGAAAATGTTTCTATACGAAGCTTCGTTTTCGAAACATTTATTAGATTGCACTTAATAGAGTTCGACGTGGACGTCACTACAAGTAGAAACAGTGTGTAATGGACAGACGTATCAGCCAAATAGTATTCAATCATATGCGTATCCGACAAATTTTCAAATACAATTATATCGAAAACGAAGCATTATAAAAACAAATTTAATTCTACATTTTCAACTGATTTTTTCATGAGTCACCCTCTCTGACCCGTCGTACTACGAATAACGGTACACCGTATATATTTGTGCGTGTAATAACATTAAAATATTGACATATCTCGTAGCTGCGTTTATCGAATGACAAATTTCATGTATTGCAACTTCCGTGTACGCTCGGAATGCTACACAAATCCCCAGTACATTTTGTATTTATGTTTTCAATCCATTTATTCGATATACCCAGGTGCATTTGCTCCGTACGAATTAATATGAAAGTGGCATTGTCGTAATTCGGAACGTTAGAGGCATTAGGAGAAATACGGGAGTATCAAACGATTACGTGTCGTTGGGCCCAACGTTTGCACGTAAATTCAAGTGGGACCGATCAAACCAATCGCGCGACCAGAATTGTGGACGCGTCGCGGTGAAAATTATTTCAAGTCAAAGGGAACAAAATATCAGTCGCTCGGGAACAACCTTTGTGTCATGTTAAGCGATATGCATCGATGTTGGTGCACACGTAGACACACGTAGGGGTGAGAAATTGTTGTGTATTGGTTAAACCTCTTAGATAGAGAAAGCGCACGGGTGTCTGGTGCATGGCACAGAAGGCGATCGTTACGGACTGCAGCCACTTGTTAGAGCCCTGTCTAGCCACCCCCTGGCTCCTCCTTCCACACCTTTCGTCTTTTGCTTCTTCCTTTTTCCTTTCTCGTTCCTTTTCCCTCTGACAGAGACCTTCGACCTACACCTTTCGCGTACACTTTTCCTTACACACCTGGTCAAAGAGTGGCCGGACTGCGGTCGATGTTTCATCGACCATCGGCCAGTCGATTTGTTGGTAGACCGCAATCGTTCTATTCCCAATTTTCATATTGGCTACTTCCCTTTCGCGAAACGGTCTTTTCATTGTTGTTTCACGCAAACGCGCTATGTAATCGACCGCCAATCTAGTGGATTGTAAAATAAAGAAGTTCGGTCGCGAATGTATTCCGATTCTAAGAATACTCTTCGAATGGTATTAACCACTTGCCTTCGAAAATAGGAAACTGGCGTAGATAAAAATAGAGATTATACGTGGTGTTCAACTTTAATCTATGTAATATGTACGCGAAAAAATGGGAAACATAATTTGATGCAATTGAGGTTTTTATAGTGTAGAAACCATCACCTTCAGATTTTTACATAAAACACTTTTTGATAGATCAATCGATACAGCTTTTAATTTTTTATAAAAAGATATTCAGTTATTTATCTCGAGAGATCAATTACTCAAGAGGTACTTTAACATTATGGTAGTGTCGAAATTGAGAAATTTTCTAAAATTTCGATAGTAAAAGTATATTCTAAAAGCAAACAATGGTTATCAGCAACGAAA